CATATATATATATATATATATATATATATATATATATATATATATATATATATATACACATACATGCATACATACATACATATATACATGTGTATATGCTTATACGTAAACATATACAAATTATATACTTATATATATATGCATATATGCATATTCATATATATGTACAAATTCATATATCATATACATAGATATACATATCTTATATATATTTGAATATATAATATATATATATATATATATATATATATATATATATATATATATATATATATATATATATATATATATATATATATATATATGATTTTGTGCTGCGGTGATATCGACAACAAACCTCTCTGACTAGGAATCGAACCTGGGGTATATATATATATATATATATATATATATATATATATATATATATATATATATATATATATATATATATATATACATATATATATTTACACATCACTCTGTACATGCGCGTGTTGGTCTGTGTAATTATGTGGATGTTCGCCCGCTTTATATAAAGTATTTACTCGAATGTACAGCATATGTGTCCATACTCTCACTCTATATTCACAGCAGCATAAGCATCTCATTTTCTACGCTGGTCTGAACTCAAGGACAATTCATCTCACACATTAGTTCGTCTGATTTATTTTCCGGATCAAAGATACAGCCGATATGAATTCCAGACTTTGGTGTCGTCTGAGAGGGAAGCCCGAGCGTCAGGCAGCAGAGACAGCAGAGGCTTTAGCCGAACTTCTTCTTGCCGAAGTATCCGAAACCTCCGTAGCCTCCGTAGCCTCCTCGGAAACCCCCGTAGCCCCATGACCTTGTAGCCCATATCCCCTGCCTCCCTCCCCCCTCGGAAACCTCCTCCGTAGTATCCACCGCCGCCTTTGTATTTGAAGGGATCGGGGTCAGCCACGGCGTCAGGGTCAGCCACGGGGTCAGGCTCAGGCATGGCACTGCTCAGGGTCACCAAGCCTGCCAGGGCCACTAAGAGGGCCAGAACCATCGACAACTGCAAAAGCAAAAAAAGAACAAAGAAAATAAGAGAAAAAAAGAAGAAGAAATAATAATAAAGAATGTTGTTATTAGCTGCAAAACAAAGGAAAAAATATAGTATGAAACTTTTTTTTTTTTTTTTTATTTATTATTTATTTATTTTTTATTTTTTATCAGTCCCTATCTCTAAGTTTATGTCTCTTCATTTTTCCGCAAAAATATCTTAGTAAATTCTAACTCAAAAAAATATATCTTAGAATGAGGAAAACATAACTCGCCCCCCTCTTTTTTTTAAATAGAAGGTTCTACATCTTTTCAATATAATCTTAAAAAAAAATGAAAGTAATAACACACCTTTACATAAATCTGCTCATCCCTAGAAACACATTTCAACAAATATTTCACATCAGTTTTTAATACATGCGGTAATAGTATTAAGGCATTAGTTATCAACTCATTCTTTGCATAACAAACACCCCAAACACCGACACTCAAACAGCAACCAAATACATAAAACATAAGCAAAGAAAGTAACATACAAAGCACATCATATCCAAACAATTATTAGCACACAAATCTCTCAAGTTTCTTCAGCTGAAATCTATCAAACTTGCCAGCTACAGGTTAAGGGTTTTGCACGCGAGAGAAACAGCTCCAAGCCTTAGGAACCAAATACACAAAACAAGAACGACAAAAGTCACAAATAACGTCACATGCAAATAACATGCATAGGCACGGAACTCTCTCAGTCACAAGTATCTAAAGTTGAAATCGCACAAACTTACCATCCTCATGGTGAGGGTTTTGCATGGGAGAGAGACAGCTCCAAGCCCAAAGCAAAGACAATCTATGCACGCCAGAGAGACTCACTCCCAAGCCATTGTAACCAAATACACAAAATCACAACATCCACGCACAAACTACACCACATGCAAACAATTTTAATCAGCACGAAAATCTCTTGGCCATAAGTTCCTTTACTTGAAATCTCTCTCCTCTCTCTGTCTCTCTCTCTCGCTCGCTCGCTCTCTACACACAGACACACAAAACTTTGCCAGATTCATAGTAACCAAACATGCAAATCTCTCAGACTCTGAAGATGAAATCGCATTTCATGTTGAGGGTTTTGCACGCGAGAGACTCAGCTCCAAACCAAACGAGAACAATCTGTGCACAAACTGCAAGGGGAATCTATATATATACCCTCATGCTGACGCGGGCGATCGCGAGCCACTATGACAGGCACTTCTCTCCTTGCTTCAATAGCCGTCTTCAGCCTTAAGTTATGGGCCTGATGAGTGCACAAATGTCCTTTGAGCAGAAGAGGTCGTAAGGGTGAATACAGTGCTATATACATAGAGATTTTCCCTTCTTTTCTTGAAAAGAGAAAAGAAAACACAAACAGATACACACACATATAAGTGTGTGTGTGTTTATACCTAGAAAGATAGATATAGATGTAGATATATAAATAGATGCATACATACACATACTATAA